GGCTGTGCTCACCTCTTTATGGAGGAGTAGTACTGGTCGATGAAGTCCTTGGCCAGGAGCAGCACCTCCTCCTTGGTCCTGGTGTCCTCTGATTTGCGGATGTGGGGGCTGGGGGTCATCACGGAGCCCATGCAGATCTGCTCAGTGCACGCGGTGGTCTGAGGGGACAAGAGGAGATGGGGAATGTTCTGGAGCCACCTCTGGTCACCAGGGCTGGACTGGGGGAGGTCAGCAATCCCCTGCACACAGGCTGGCGGTGTCTGATGAACAGGGACATTCCCAGAGGGTTTGGGACACTGTGTGATGACAGCCAGGCCATGGGCTGTCATGCTTTGTCCCTCCCCATCCAATGGGATTCACCCCCCAGCTTGGCATCAAGCCAAAGGCTCTTCCTGATTTACCCCAGGTGGATTCCCCTCTGCCCCTTATTGCACCAGAGATTTGAAATTCAACCCCTCCTGTAGACAAGACTGAATTCCTCCATTTTTGCATTCCTGGGTAAATCCTAGGGCTCACAGTGAAATACCATGCACTGAAAATATTCTGGGAATAAGGGACAGAGGCAGAGAGGGGAAGGCARAGATTTACAGCTGACCCCTCAGCAGGATCTATTTAGTCCTTGCAGTTCCCAAAAGCTGCTCCCTGCACCCCTCAGGCTGTGCTGCCGTGTATCTCTGACATTCCTTGTGTCACAAATCCCATGATTTTGGAAACACGGTGATCTGCTCGAATTTTGGGGAATTTTGGCTGGTCCCAGCTCTACTCACCATGGCGGTCTTGAGGTGCAGGGTGTCGTGGAGCACCGAGCCCGTCTCCCAGTTCTTGATCTTCACAAAGCGGGGGCATTTGGAGGGGCTCCCGTTGTGGGTGTTCTTGGTCGGGGACTGGCGCCCAGAATGCGGCGGCTGGAAAACGGGGAATGCCCAGAATGAGGTCAGAAATTGCCAAAAAATTACAGGAAAAGGTCACAACAGCATGGGTGGGTTCATGTGCTTGGATTCTTGGGGTGATACTGCTGGACAAGGGGCATTATCCCAATAATTGGTGTTTTTTTGGGATCCTATAAGAGGGGCCAACCCGCAATGTAATTGAGAAGTTTTGGGACAGCCAAACCTGTGGAAAATAAATTATAACAGAGGTGGAAATGATTTARGAGAACACTGTGCTCAAGATTCCCAGAGGAAGACTTTCCCCCAAGATCCATGGGAGGTTCCTCTCCAAGGCACATCCCCTGCTCGGGTTGTGCAGGAGCCCAGCTCTGCCCTGCTGGTGACACCGACCCAGGAGCTGCTGGTCCCTGAGCCAGCCAAAGGCACAGMTCCTTTGGCATCAATGCTGGATGAGCGTGGGGATGAGGACGGGTGAATTATCCGAGTGGATGGATCATAGTGGCTGGATTTATCCCTGAACTCCTTGGGATGTGCTCACCCAGTGCTACTGGAGCCCTGGGATGGAAAYAAATGGTGCTTTTTGCATGTTTTCACTGATAAAACCTCAATTTCCTACCCTGAGGTGGCCCTTACTCACCCCAAGCGCTTCAGGAGCCATCAGTGTCCAGCAGTGGGGACAGAGAGTTCTGCAGAGGCTCTGGGGAGCAGAGACATCCCCCAGGAATCAAATCTGATGGAATTACACCACWGGAACCACAGCGCTGCTGCTGCAGCTCCCAGGGGACACCTGCTCATACCTGGCACCTCCTCGAGGCCATGCACAGCGGATCTGGGCTTGGAATGGATTTGTTTTCCCTTTCCCTGTGAATCCTGGGGCTCCTGTCCCTTTTTAACCCCTCTCTGATGGTTTTTTTTCTCCTTTTGGGGGGCCTGGGCTCACATCACAGTGGCAGTGAGGGCACAAATCCAGGCTTGAGGCTCAAGCAAAGAACCAGCACGGGGTGGGAGAAGCTCCCGGCTCAGCAGGGGAAGCAAAAGRAGCCACAGGGATGGCAAAGCAGGAGAGGCTCCAGGTCTGACTTGTTCCTGCTTTTCCAGAGATTGTTCCACTTTTCCAAAGCACAGAGAGATCCGTGCCTGTTCCAAAACCAATTCCTGGGCTGAGCAGGCACCTCTGCGTTGCCCTGGTGGCACTGTTGGCCAGGGTTTTGCTTATTCCTTGTTTTCACCCTGTTCTCCAGCCTTTTTTTCCCCTGAAAAACAGGGATTTCAAGCAGCCTGAGGCTCAGGGTGTAATATCACACTCTGAAAACATATTCTGGGAATAAGGGACAGAGGCTGGAGGGGAAGGCAGAGATTTACAGCTGATCCCTCAGCGGGACCTTCTTCAGCCCTCACAGTTCCCAAAAGCTGCTCCCTGCACCCCTCAGGCCGTGCTGCTGTGGATCTCTGACATTCCCCATGTCACAAATCCCATGATTTTCCCAAGGATGCATCCAAGTCCTTCCCCCAAAGCCAAATGACCACACAGTGGATCTCAGCCTTGCCTTTCCACGCTGCAAAAACCAAATTTAAAACCCCACGTAGAGCTGAAACCCAGCAGTAAATAAAAAGAACCTCCTCGATGCAGTCCTGGAAAAACATTATTTTTAAGYTCATTTTTCTCAGTTTTGAGGAACCTGACCTGAATGACGGCAGTGGCAGCTCCTGATTGTTTTTTCACTCCTTGTTTTACTCTTGCAAGAGAATGAAATCATTCTTTGCCATGGTGTGCTCCCTGACCCACCCTGGGGACCAAAGGGGACAATCTGCCACCTTCCCTYGGAGCCTGATTGCTCTCAGAGATGGCAAAAGGGAGCTGAAAACAGCTCGGAAATGCAGCCCAAAGCAATCCTCACCTGCAGCTCCACCTGCCAGACAGGCACTGGGAGCACCAGGCAGGGAGTGTTGATTGSATCCAGCACTTTTGAATTGGGGTTTTGATCTCCTGACAAGGTGTGCTGCTAAAACATTTCTTCCTGGAGTTGATATGGCCGCAAAACATGCCATGAATCTGGATGTGGAATGTGCCACATCCTCAGAGCAAAATCACACTCAAAATCACACAAAATCACCCACAAAATCACACAAAATCACGCAAAAAAATCACTCAAAACCACACAGGAAATCACTCACAAAACCACACACAAAATCATACACAAAATCACTGAAAATGACTCTCAAAACCACACACAAAATCACATACAATATCACTCAAAATCATGAACAAAATCACACACAAAATCATGCACAAAATCACACAAAATCACACAAACTCACACAAAAGCACAAAATCACCCACAAAATTACAGACAAAATCACACAATATCACTCAAAATCACACTCTAAATTACACACAAAATCACACACAAAATCACCCAAAAAAATCAGACAAAATCACACACAAAATCCCCCACAAAATTACACTCAAAATCATCCACAAAATCATGCACAAAATCACGCACAAAATCACTCAAAATCACACACAAAATCACACACAAAACCACACACAAAATCACCCACAAAATCATTCAAAATTACTCAATATCACTCAAAATCACACAAAAAATCACACTCAAAATCTCACATAAAATCAGACAAAACCACACACAAAATCACTCAAAATCACACCAAAAATCACTCAAAACCACCCAAAAAATCACACACAAAACTACCCACAAAATCACACACAAATTCACACACAAAATCACTCAATATCTCACACAAAATCATCCACAAAATCACACAAACTCACATAAAACCACCCACAAAATCAGCCACAAAACTACACACAAAATCACACAATATCACTCAAAATCACAAAGTCACGCACAAAATAATTCAAAATCCCACACAAAATCACACACAAAACCACACACAAAACTACAACAAAATCACTCAAAATTGCTCAATATCACTCAAAATCACACCAAAAATCACACACAAAACCCCACATAAAATCAGACAAAACCACACACAAAATCACTCAAAATTATGCACAAAACCAGACAAAATCACACAAATTGGGGGATGCTGGCTGCTGAACATCTGCCCATGGATGTCTTGCCTCAAACCCCGTCAAAGCTGCTCCTTTTCCCATTTTCCCTGCAGGAACTGGGCAAGCTGGAACCGTGGAATCCCATAATCATTAAGGTTGGGAAAGCTCTCCAAGATCATTGTTTCCAACCTTGGATGGAGCACCGAGCTGGCACCGAGTGACATTTCTTGGCCACTTCCAGGGATTAATGGGAYCCGTTAATCTGTTCTTGCTGGGAAAAGGCCATGGGTGCTGAAATTCTGGGATGGCAGCCAGGCTGGAGCAGAGGTGCCAGGTCTGACAACCACAACCCGGAGAAGCCGCGGGGAGCGAGAACTCAAAAGGGCCTGGGA